GGCAACAACTAATTGGCTAAAGCAATATACAGAAGGACAAAACATGTGCAATTTGAAAGACACAGGTGTTAAAATTACCACTAGAATGTATTTACCCATATAAACTGAAAACACTTCAAGATAGTAAGCTAGGACATTATGAATGAGAACAAAGATAGATTCAAACAATAAGTAGACCAATACAGAAAGCCATCTGGTAAGCCAAAGGGGAACTCGTAACAGCAACATACTAGCAAAATCTTTAGCAACATCTAAACAAAGTTGTATGAGGACTCCCGCACAAGGCCATGGTACACCAATAGAGAATAGACAATGCTGGAAACCGGAATTTCATGAACATAAGTTCTAAGGATGATAAAAGCATTTTTTTAAATTATTTTGAATGAGGAAACTGAACATTCATTTGTGCAAGTAAGCAACGTAAGGTTCAAACATTAGAGGAAAAAAGGAATAGAAGGATGACAACTATAAATGTTTGACACACATAATGAATAGAGCGAGCAAACAAAAAATAAACCGAAGAAATTAAAAAAATAAAGAGGTAATGGCCTTTGGCACCTTAGGTCCGACCATGTGGGTCGCTCGGTTGACAAGCCAGGGAGGCAGCTTTCCGCGCGGGTCTGTCTCTGACACAAAATCCAACTGTGACCCGCGCGGACCAAATGGACGAACTACGTACCCTGAAACCACACCACACTGTCACCTTTGCTCAAACAAGCTCATAAAAAACAAAGGCCAATTAGGGCCAAAGTGAGTTATACACAACAGTACATTGCCATCTCAAACATCTACTACTCACACAAATGGCTCTGCCTGATCTTATACAACAACAAAAAGTGGAATGATTGAAAAGTATGTTGTACAGTTGTTTTAAAAGTGTAGGTAATGTTCTGTAAATGGACTTTGACTTGTTTTGTATTGAGAATTGACTAGAATCAGACTGACGCTTGATGACAGGGTGACAGGGTATGTACAGTTGTAAAATTCTGTGCTTCCAGACGATCTAACCCCGATTGTAAATAAGATGGATTAAAAATAAAATAAAATTCATAAAAGTAGTTGTGCATTGTATTTTAAATTGATGATATATAAATCATGGTAATCAGAGCAATGAAATTAGAATAAGTCTGTACAAAAACCAAAATAATGTGGTTTGTGCAGTGCAGTTGATGAAATGACGTTTTACTTGAAAATTTAGCACTAGTTGTGATTGACTTAAATGTGATTTAATAACAAATACTCATTGGCACGTGTGGACTCTCACTATGTTCAACTGAATAATGGTAACAAGCTTCCAGCATTTATTCACAAGCTCTCTGTGGTTTATGTTTTGAAAGGAAATAAATAATGAGGTGCTTTTCATGTCTGAGAAAAAGTAGTTGATAATCTTGGGTTCTCTCCTTTTCTTCATGTAGCAATATAGCCCTACAAAACCAAGACAGCTTGAAACATGATACCAGCACAAAGGCAGCAAACACACATATACAGTGGTGAACACACATCTACAATTACGAATGTAAGTACTTATTTTTCTAAAGGATGACGCAAAGAGTGATGCTACAGGCTTGAATTTACCGAAGTTGAATTGACCAAAGAACACAATTTTAGGATAGAGCTGATTTCATTTAAGTCATTTTCTCTCATATCTAACCCTGATTAAAATTTCAATTTAAAGCTGTCTACAACACTGCACCAACTCAGAAACAAAAATGCAACAAATAAAAAGACACACACACCAAAGGAAATAAAAATAGGAAGCATAAGAAAGAAATGTATGAAACAGCTACTGGTTTAAGAAATCCTGATGGTTGAAAATTGTAAGAGGAATGATAATAGTTTGGCAAGTAGATCTAGCTGAAGACTGAGCATATAGTACATTAAATGTTTGAAAAAGTAAACTTAAAGATGGGTTGGAATCCCAACTCTTAGTGGACCTTTTCTGTAGCTGTCCTACCAATATGAAAATACTGCTGGTGATCAGATTTAGTACATGAGTAGATTTCAAAGTGAATTTCAAATGCTAATTATGGACAAAGTTTGAACTTTTCTGTTTGCTGTAGGCACAGTGGAAAGAGGAGGCAAACTCAAAAGACAGCCACGACTAGAGCGGGGATGCATAACTTAGCTACATAAGTTATTTATTGCCAGCACCTTTCGTGCAACTTTCTGCGTAAGCTTGTTGACCAGGACAGAAGGCAGCTTTCCACAAGGATCAGACTGTGATACATAGTCCAAGTAGCATCCATGAGTCTTGGATGGGCGGACTAAAAACCCTGTAAGACACATCCTCTTCAATTAGTTAATGCAAAATTGCTAGTAGCACAATTGAGAAGCTTAGACTTTATGAGACCAAAACAAAGTGTTAATTGTTTAGAAACCTGCCAAATATTTTAATGGCAACATTTGAAAGTCATCACATAAAAAAGCACACACATTTGAACACAGAAACACAGTTTACACAAATAAATTCGTCGGAGTAATACTAGTTGTCCTCAACTTGAAGCATAAAGTAAGGGACTCCATGCTGAAGGGAGTGAGTGTAAAATTTGGTCCTTATGCCAAGAAGGTATTGATAGTTGTAAACAAAGCTTAACAAGTTGAGTCCCACGTGACTACATGTGTGGTCACAAAAACCCGTGTTTGCTAACCCCCCCCCCCTGGAACTCAACGTGTTAAGGGGCACACAATCAATATTTGAGAAAAATTTAGTAAAGTGAGTTATTTACCTAAATACATAATCATGCCTGCAGTTCTTTCAATTAGTTCTTAAAACTACAGATGAAGTAAAAATTAAAACATTTAGAAGAATTCTTTATCACAAGATTTGAATGATTACCTGTAATGTAGGATTTTGCCCGAATGAAGTCCTTACGAGGAGGGAAGCCTTTATGATAGACCGAGTGGTTAATGATATACTTCTCTTGTCCAGTGTCGAGCCATGAGCGTTGTAATACAAAGTCGCGTTTGGATACAGGCGAAGGGCATGTCACTGGTTTAAAGAAGGAAAGAGAATTTTCATTAACAGAGCATATTCATCTCCATTTGGTGCACAACATTTCATAAGGGAAAAAAACAACATACTTGCATAATATCCCAAGTCATTGTTTGGATTCAGAGATCCAATATCATGCTGTTCAACCATGTGTGTGTCCCATACTTTACGATACTCTGGATCATGCAATACATCATAAAGAACATCAGGGTCGACATTTGAGAATACAGCATTAACCTGAAACAATAAGGACATAATTTTTTACCAAAAACTTAAGCAACACATTTTTTTAAAGTTAAAGAGGCAGCCAATAAGTTGAAGTTGAATATATTGAAACGTTGTCTTGATTTCTTGACTTACCTTCACCATTTTAAAGCTAGTGGTAGGTGCTGGTTTAGTCCAAACTTTAGTACTTTCTTTGTTGAATTCAAGTGTCCATCCAGGTTCATCCTCTACAAGATGTTTTAAATTTAAAAAATCTTGATCGTCTGCAACTTTAACTTCACCTATGTCCATCTGTGTGTGACAGTTGCATGCCGCCTTCTGCTGTAAGACAAATGAAATATTTCAGCGGGGTACTGTAAATATCTAGAACTAGAATAATAAAGACAATGAGCACAAAGTTTCTTCAGAAACCAGAATTTAACCTACTTTAATGGATTTTCTCATTTCTGCAAGTTGTTAGTCTCAAAACAAACAAAAATCCAACTAAAAATGCAGCTGTGCAGTTCTACTCAGCTCTCATCACCATCTGCTGCAGAATATGAAGACACAGATGATAAAATAGCTCTGTCAGCTGCCGGTTTGAATCGTCTCACCCCTTATTTCACATTTCACCCTCCCTCTGGTTTCACTTATCAGCTGATGGGGGAGGGAGAAAGATCAATAGTGTTAAATTCGCCCTCGCCCTACCAGTTCTTTTACCAAGTGTTGAACAAGGCGCATGCGAGGCAGCTTATTTGTAGTTTGTAGACATTAAAATGAAAATCAACGGAATAATTGTGTCAAGGCTTGAACGATGTTTTAGTAATATGTATCGGAAAAATTCTGATACGGTTGAAGCAATATTTTGGAGCTCAGTTCAAACCATGGGGCACATAACCTATTTCGCGCACTTCATACTATTTATTATTTCTGAAAGAACTATTTTGATTAATTGTATGAATATGGCAGGACATTTAAAATGTCCCCAATTCAGTAGCATGAGAAATTAGATCACTAACCATGCCATGCGGTTGATTTCCCCTAACTTTGAAAAGTTTCTAAAAACAACAAACACAAAAAAAACTTCTTTTGTTACAATCTAGTGTTATTTTATTTTGAATCTGGTGACGGTGGTGGTAGTTTTGATTTGCTTATTAAAAAAATTTGAGCATCTAAACTTTTAAGTTGGCGTAGAAAACTAACAACTAAAGTACCGACTCTATGTTGTCTTTTCCTGAGGTATTCATGGCAGTTTACCCCAAAATTATTGATCTGACAAAAAGTTTGATACAACTAAATTCCTAAACTCAAGAAGTCTATCAAACGCCCCTGATTAGATGTATGTAAGTATGCCTAATGGTTATCAAAAAGAGTTTCCCCTTTGGCAGTTTGGTCCATCACCAGTTAATCAAACTTGAATCAGATTTTAATTGTGGATTTTTAAATATTCTTGACTGAGAGCAATGACTTCTCATTGCCTTACATACAATTTGTGGGTCAACAAAAAAAAAAAAACATGCTACTATACCTGAAAATGTTCATCGTGTCCAGGGTTTTCTGACATGTTACTCCTCATTGTTTTGTTAGGAGTGACAATATAATGTTAGTTGATGAAGAAGAAAGTGTGCCTCGGCTAACGTTTCCACGTTGATTACGTCGTGTAGGAATTAGATTATACAAAAGGTTTATCACAACTCTGTATTTCACTTTAATTTAAGGTTACGCTTTTTGGAGGGG